ATAGTATACTTATTAAATAGACGTTTTGGGCACCTCTTATACTATAAGGAACATTGATGACTCAAGCAATCACCTGATCTCTCTTACCCTCTTATTCTAATTAAAATTCTTTTATGCTAAAATACCCTAATCCCAATATTCTTATTTTAACTCGAAGTACTGTAATTAGTGTATATAAACTTAAGAGAATTCGATAATTGACATTAGAAAAGTGAACAATTAAATTAGTGTATCCGAGAATCGAAATTAAAGTAATTGAGTTTATTAATATACTTTAAATAAAATTCATTAATATAATTCCACGCTCAAATATTTCAATTCGAATTTTATATTAATAATATATTCGAATAATATTCATTTTCCAGTAATCAATTACATATAAAAGATTAATTTCACCATTAAATGCCATATTAACTAAAGAATACCAACACCCAGTTATAGAGTAATCAAAAACGACATAATTGCTGTTAATAAAAAAAACATGCTTAAGTTTAGAAATTTCATAAAAATTTGTTTTTTTTTTTTTTGTTATAAATACTTTTCCATCATAGTCATATTTCAATGAAATAAATAAATGTTGCGCATATTTACGTGTATTTTTACACTAAATACAACGATGTCAATAGATTTATTTATCTTCAGTATTTGTTTAATTATTTAACTTTTTTTTGTTGTAACTGTTATTATTTGTAATTAGTAAAATATCTGTAACCAATAAATAAGACAAATAAAATCTAATTATACCACCGGTGTTTAACGTAAAAATATAAGTAAATTCGTGAAACATAGATTTACTTAATTTAAATAGAACTGCGATAGAAAAATATTTATTAGAAAATAACAGTAAATGTAATGAAATATTCAGCTCAATTTTTTAATTTATGAATGCTTTAAATCAAATGAAAACAGGCTAAACTTATTGCAGCCATCTCGAATTTCAAACGGCTCTTATATAAAACGATTAAAATAACTTAAGATAGTTTCAAAAATATATATCTATTGATTTTTAGTTGTGTAATTATCACTTAATTAACAATTAGTAATTACTTAGAAATTAATCTTATTAATCTTAAAAATTACTTTTGTTGAAACAAATCTTTAACTAGATTAGAAATTAGTAGCGAAATTTAATATACAAGTAGGATTTATCTAAATATATTTAGATCAATGTATATTGTAAATCACAGACAATTTTTCTTTGTCCTTCGTTAGCTTTATTGCATAACATTGTTTTGATGGTAAAACTTCAAATATCGATTTTTCGAAATTATTCAGGAGGAAGAACAAAATACATTATTTTTGTATAGCTAACAATAAATATAGTTTTTTTTAACCTATTAAAACTACATTATCTCAAGAATAATAGAGAGATAAGATAAGATTTATGCGAAAAACTCATAAATGTGTAACACATTGTAAATTTGTTTTTCTCGAAAAAAAATCTCGAATTGCCGAGATTCGTAGTTTTGCCATGGAGACGATCATATTATCTAATTTCCAATAGTTTACTCGAAAATAATTACATTTTTAGAAGATATAATAGCACAAAACTATTCTATAGATTTGTTTTTTGTTTGGAAAATCGTATAATTTTTTGTATTATATTCCCTAAAGAATAAGAAATGTTTGCAAACCGTCTAGTACTTGCATTAACTTAACTTTTAAACATTGACTTGTTAAGTAAATGAGATTTTGTAAACTTGACTTTTAACTTAATTTATTAAAAAAATAACGGATATACATTAATTATTAACTCGTTATCTTTTTTCAATAAATTTATTTTTACGAGTTGAAAAAAATCATTAACTTGTCCAGCCTTGATAATTTGTAAAAAATAAAACTTTATAATTGTATTAAATTCACTGTATAAAAACAATATATTCCTTAAATAATTACTTATAATGGAAATGTTATTTTTATCATTAAGTCATATCTTTTTAACAAATACGAGGTCCCTATAATAACTGAATGTTCGCTCCTTTTTTGTAAATGAGACTTTTTTTTTTTTCAATTTATTTACTTTACTCGAGTATCTGATAATTTCTCAAGTGTTTTTTTTTTTTTTTTACAGTTTTCCTATAAACGATGAATAACGTAATCATTTCCAGCAAACACTTACAATCGGTGCTATTGATCACACCTTGACGGCATATGACATTTTTGTATATGAAAAGTATGAAAATATCGCCGGAAAGTGTTAAACCGACTTGATTAGAAGATGATTGAAAGGATGTAGAGACCAGTGTAAAGGGCTGCATGGTCGTCATCTTTGGCGTCGAGAGGTGGTGGCCACTAATCGTTTCAGGAGTGTGCGCGAAGTGCGCCACACGCATTAGCGATGCCGTTGTGCGTTATCAGTCGGCCGTTGAGACACTCACGGGGCTTCTGAGTTTTGTTACCGCGTAACATCGTTAACGACAACAAGTCCGTCGTCAGTTCACGCGGAATTTCTCGTCGGTTTCCCACCCCGCGGCTCTCGGGTTTTTACCCCCAATGACTTGTTGAACGCGCCTGGCCAGTGCGGTGGTGTCTGGGCCTCGTCGGGAGTGCGTTCACTGTTCTTTTGTTGCGCGTCGGTTTGTTGGTGCGACAGACATGCAGCCGACCGCAGCTGCCAACGCGTTCGAGAAGACCACGTTGGAATTCCGATACGATACGTGTCTCAACTTATCGGCAGATGTTGCGGAAAACATACCGCTGTGCTACAATAGTACATATGACATGTATGGCGATAACAGCACTGACGAGGAAATTGCTAGGGTACTTGATATTACTTTTATAGATTTTTATACCAAAACGAACAAATGAGCGTCTGAACGCAATATTGGCCAAAAAATAGTAAATGCTATTTTTTGACTACTAATTGTCCACGAAAATAGCAATATTATGAGACAAAAATACTTTAAGTACCAATATAATACGGCCGTGCTAGGAAAATAATATTAAAGTCAACAATTTGTAAAAATGAGTTCACGCCAACATAATTCCTATCAAATTATCAATGGTGGGCATTAACTAGTTAAAAATTTAAGTTAAGTTAAAATATTGATTTTTCTTTTAACTTTTCGACTTCACTAATTTAATTTCCCATTGAAATAACTTAGCTTTTTCAGTTAATTAGGTAAAATAACAGTTAATCTAAATTTAAAGTTTCATAAAAAATGTATGTCTTTCTACGCTGCGTACGTGGTTTAATTTAAAAAAATATCGATTTTTTCCCTATCGCTGATATTATATTTATATAACAATAAAAATAATTTTTTTCAAAAATCTATGTGATTTTCAACTGATTTTTTTTTTTTTAATAACTATTTTTAAAGATAAAACAGCGCAACCAACATCAAAATGTACAAAACGAATAAAAAAAATTTTTTTTATCATTAATACTTTCTTCCTGTTCAGTTGAAAATCGATTCTTAGCTTTCCCATGCATCACCGACCAAAAAATTATTTTAGCCGAAAAATTAATTTTATATGAAATAAACTTTTTTTAAACTAGACAAGTTAAAAAGAACTTTCAACTTATCTTATAGTTTACTACGCTAACTTGTTAGCTAATTAAATATGATAACTTTTAACCACTATTTTATCAACATTTATCATACTTAAATTAACTTAACTTAATTATTTCGATTAACTTGCTATCCTTACATATAATAATACAATTTAGCCATTTTATGACTTCGATTATTGTACTAACTTAATGAAATTATTTCCTTAAATCGCATATGTCATAAACTCATTCTTGACTTGAACATTTGTTCCAGAGAACCATTGAAATATTAATGCATTTAAAAGATAATTAGTTTTTAAAAACTAGAGTGAAGTACTTGTTGCATTATCACGGATTATAAAATGTATCAATTAAAAAAAAAACAATTATTGCTATAATTTAATGTAAAAAAGAAAATTGTTAGTGCTACAATTAAATATTTTCTTATTTAATCAGTGTTATTATCTGAATTTATATATTTTGGTGGTTTAGACGACTATTGCGCTCAACCCTTTGAATAATGTAAAAAAAATGGCCAATTTAAACAAATTATCCATCAATATGGTATTGTAGTAAAACTACGAATGATATTTATGAATTTACACAACTTTACAGATGTTTGTATCATTATATTTACATATCTATAAGTAAAANCAAAAAATGTGGCCAATTTAAACAAATAGTAGTAAGTTCGTACTAAATTAGTACGAACTACGAATTAGTAAAACTACGAATGATATTTATGAATTTACACAACTTTACAGATGTTTGTATCATTATATTTACATATCTATAAGTAAAATTTTTCAACACACAAAGAAGACAACACCTGCTTACATTAAGAACATAATTAAAATCGATTAATTAAATTGTCTATACTTTTAAAACTATATTATCTAAAACTAATATTTTTGTTAAATATATCTTATGTTATAAAAATTACTAAATGTATGAATCTATGTTTTTGTTAGATCCTTACACGGACTAAAAATACGAATTCAATGCGATCCAGTAAAATTCAAAGTAATCCCGACTCAATAATCCGAAAATTGATACAATTTACTAAAAATATGCTTTAAATAATATACTTTTTTTTAATTTAATTTTTATACTATATAATCTTATTTGGACCGTCTAGTAATTATTTTAACATTAAAATATTTCACAAGTGCCACAAACTCGATTTAATTCAATCAAAACTTCAAAAAGCCCAATTCAGTTTGATATTCAGTCTGGCAATATCACTTTTGTTAGCTCAATCTAATCCGAAAAATTTTAGAAGTGGTCTGAAATTGATCCAAACTGAAATCATTATTTTCGGAAACATCAAAAGGTTGTTTGTCCCAATTTAGGTTCCCAAACATTTTATTTTTCATGCCGTCATGTATCGATAAACATATATTTATTATTCAGGCAACACCCAGTCTAATAATATAGTCATAAACTTTGATCACTATTTAATTATTATTTGACATCAAAATTAATAATACTCATGTAACATTATAATATTATTCGTTTAATCATATATTAAATCATATAATATTAACGATAGTGTTATTATCGTTAGTATTATTATTTTAAAATAGTTTTTGAGCATTTATATATTTTTAATTGTTGATAATTAATAAGTCTGCGTTTTATAAACGCTTAAAGTATTCATTGTGAAAATCGATATTTTAAAATCACAAACTAAATGTTTAGCATTCTACTGTAGGTTGGCTAATAATTAATGTTTTTGGAAGCTATGATATGTTTCTCCATTTTAGGCACAGCGATTTCTAAACTTAGCATTAACGGATCCCTTTGTGTATTTGATTAGACAGATAAAGCTACCAGCTAAAAAATTTGATAATTGTCGCTTAAAATTGTCAAATATTTGTTCAAGAACAATGAAACAACTCGGCTCATCCACTAGTAGATCATGCAGAGCATAAACGCCTAAAATGAAAAACATTTAAGTAAAGCTGTAAAAGGTTGACTTGGAAACTTTTAAGTACCTCTTGTAGTTCTTGGTCGAATACTAATCGAGTTGCGCGTTATCGTGGGAACTTAGCACACGTTGCATTTAAGTCAGGACATTCATAAACATGATATTAAATGGCACCTACTGGCCGAGTCTCGCCGACGAGGAATATTCTGCGGCCGAAGGATTGAAACTTAACAAACTGTTATCGCTTAAAAAAAAAAAGTTTATCGTATCGGAGTCAGCTATTAAGTTGTTCTCGCGCTTACCGCATACGCGGTTCCTTTGCAATTAACCGGTACAGCAGGACAACTTTATACGAAAATAATCTAAAAGCTCTCGAAGAGTATTCAGTACTCAACTCGGTAGCATTTTACGGCCAACATTAAAATCAAAATATTATTGCTGCAGTAGGATTACTGCTGTGGTGCATGTACACTCCATGTTATGATAAACGCTGTTTCTAAGTACTCCCCCGTGGCGTTCGTTTAGAGCATTCTTTGTGTTTTTAATAAGCGATGGCCATGTTTAAAAGTTAGACAAAAATTAAAAAATTCAAGATAACGACGATTTTTTATTTCTTTAGGTTTTTTCGGTATATCTTGTATAATTTAATTTTCATCTCTTTATGGTCAGAAACAACAGTCATTAATTAATTACTCTAGCGAGGCTCTCGATACTAGTTTCAATGTAATTATATTAGAACAACAAGCCTCGGTGCGGTTGTATATTCATCAATTTATGATTGTAACCACTTAAATGTTTGGCATTGGGTCTTTGACCGTATCTTTAAGAAACGGTTCGTTGTTATTTTGATACAAATCATCGTGAATATTCATTTCGTTCAGACCATAGTCTTAGTTTCTCTAAATTATTCGGCAATATCGTCTTTTACCATTTATATTTGCTTTTTGACTGACTGTACTTTACAAGTTACATATTATAAAACAACTATTCGAATCTACCAAACTACTAACTTTCAGAGTATAATTTATTCGCAGATATTAAACAAACAAGCTGGCTATCGTGAGAATTTGGATAACAGCTGAGCGCTTAAGATAAAATGTTTCTCCTCGTAGAAGTCCACACCCCAAGTTTGAATACATATTAGAGAAATTTAGTGTACACAGCTGGTGTTGTACGCTACTCTGGTAAATTACATGTTATAGAATAAAATGCTGATGAACAACCATAAGTATTGGCTTTATTTTTAAAGGGTGAATGTATTGTTTGACGACTTTACTTGTCTGAAAAAAAATTTATGTACTCACTATATTTTCAATAACTTAATTAAACTTCTAACAAAACACTCATAATCTACCTTTTCACTAAAGCTGCAGTAAATTATAAACATTTTATAGTACTAACCTAAACCCTTTAAAAATTTACTGTTTTTAATTACATAATGTAAGTACACATTTTTTTATTATCTTTTATAAAGTATATACTTGTAACTATAACGATAAAGTTTTCTTCCTTAAACATTTATAATTACATTTCTTTATGAAAACATACATGAAAAACTATTCACTCACGACATTACCGTGAATATTTTTTTATATTAACCTCATGCTGCTCATGAAGACTTGCCAACGCTTTTAAAGTACACTGAAATATTATTTATCTACTCACTGACACTACCATTTTATCATTGCCTCTAATAAAAAATGTTGATTCATAAAATAACATTGATTCATTTACTGAATGTGATTATTAAAGTCTTAAGATCTTGTTAAACTTTTAAAGAATATTTTATCTTTGTTATATAATGTTATGTTGATATGAAACTTTATTAAAGTTATGTAATTCATTTCAAACTATATTTGAAAAAACATTTTTGTAGTAGTATTATTCTACACTAGTTTTTCTCGTAATACTTAAATTAATTAAATCGCGATCAAAATACCTACCAAGATTGTTTACTAAGAAGAATTAATAATTTAGTTAAACTTTGTGTAATTATAACTTATAACGAGTTACAATCAAAGTGACATGCGACAAAGGTTAACGTGATATGTTAACTGTTGATTAAAATTAAACTTTTTGGTGTCGACTAGAGAAAAGCTCATTGATTCTTATCAACATCGCTGATGTTAAATATATTTTTAGGGTCAATTTAATTTCATTGAAATTATCTTTTTACTACATTCAAATTACCGTACTTGCTCTCAATATATAAGCGGTACTACTTAAAAACAATTTTTTTAATGATTTAATCATTGTCTCCATCAGAGTATATTTATTACCAAATGTAATATGTTTTTAAGGTATAGGATTAAGGTTAGTTCAGTGTGAAAAAAATCT